TTAGGGTTTAGGGTCTAAGGATTTAGGGTTTAGGGTTTAGGTTCTGAGGGTTTAGGGTTTGGCGTCTGAGGATTTAGGGTTTAGGGCTTAGGTTTTAAGGGTTTTTAGGGTTTAGGGTCTACGGGTTTAGGGTTTCGGGTCTAAGGGTTTTTGGGGTGTAGGGTTTAAGGGTTTAGGGTATAGGTTTTGAGGGATCTAGGGTTTAGGGTTTAGGTTTTAAGGGTTTAGGGTCTAAGGGTGTAGGGTTTACAGTTTACGGGTTTACGGTTTAGGTTTTAAGGGGTTTTCGGGTCTAGGGTTCAAGGGCTTGGGGTTCAGGGTCTACGGGCTTAGGGTTTAGGTTTTGAGGGCTTTAGGCTTTAAGGTTTAAGGGTTTAGGGTTCAAGGGTTTAGGGTCTAAGGGTTTAGGGTTTAGGTTTTAAGGGTTAAGGGTTTAGGGTTTAAGGGCTCACAGGGCGACGGCGAGGTTTAGGATTCGGATTTGAGTTGAGATGCTGTGGGAAACCGAACCTGTTTGTCGTGCAGATCTCCCGTACTCCCTTTTCCGAAGTACCCTAAACCCTAAACCCTGAACCCTGAACCCTAAATCCTAAAACTCCTCCCGAAATTGACATATCCATCAGGCTTGAGATTTCCGAAAGACTCTAACATCTCTCAGGCAAAAAAAGACCCTGTGTTTTGTTGCGTAGAACATGGGGGGGAAGCCGCTGCAAGCGATGGCAACCCCTGTATCAGAGAGCCCGAGCCCCCCTCCACCGATTGCTGACGAGCTGCTGTGCCGGAGTAGCCCGCCCTCAGAGATTGACGAAGAAACCCTAAACCCTAAACCCTAAACCCTAAACCCTTTAAAGGCTTTCCGGATCTTCGGGCTTGGTGTTGGACATAAGCTCAACCCGCACGCCCCGAACCCAAAAGCCCAGAGATGGATAATCCCCAAAGCCCCACAGATCTAAAGAACCAGCCCTGAACAAAAAAAGACTCTTTACAGCTCGAAGACTTCATGGGTTTAGGGTTTCGGGTTTAAGGTTTGGGGTAGCAAGAAAACAAACATTCGGAACATCATAAATGTGAACTGTTCTCCTCTGTGCATGGGGACACCCTCAAGCAACAATGCTCCAAGTCTAAAGTAGGAACCTGGTTAAGAAACCCTTGCCCATTTAACACCAAAACTTTAACATCCATACCAAGAACCCTAATAAGGGCCCACGGTTTCTTTGTCAGGTTCCTACATTACCCAGAAACGTTAAGTCTAGGACATTTTCTGGTGGGTAGCTATTTTCCCCTAAACTTCCCGCCTGTAATTTCCTTCCATTAAGCCCTGAAAAAAAGAACTGCTCAGCAAGCCTTGCACGCCCTGACAAACCGTCTGAGCAGTCAGCACCCTAGACCCCGAACCCTGAACTTATCTAAGGGCCTTAATAGTTAGAATAGGGTTTAGGGTTTAGGGTTTAGGGCTTAGGGTTTAGCGAGGGGCCGCAATAGTTAGAATAGGGTATTGGCGCCCTTGATAGCATAATCATAGTAAGGAACCCCCAAAGTACCATAGGTTATCGATGTAGGGGCCTTAATAGTTAGAATAGGGCTTTGGCGCCCTTGAGAGTATAATGAGAACAAGGAAGCCTCGAAGTAACATAGGTAATTGCGGAAACCCCCTATATTTAATTGCTACTGTTTGCCACGGCCGAAGCCCAACCCCCGCTACACCCTAAAACCCCTAAACCCTCAAGCCCCTAAACCCTAAAGCCCCTAAACCCTAAACCCTAAAGCCCCTAAAGCGCCTAAAACCCCTAAACCCTAAAGCCCCTAAAGCCCCTAAACCCTACACCCTAAACCCTAAAGCCCTAAAGCCCTAAAGCCCCTAAACCCTAAACCCTGAAGCCCCTAAAGCCCCTAAAGCCCCTAAACCCTAAACCACCTAAAGCCCCTAAACCCTAAACCCTAAAGCCCTAAACCCTAAAACCCCTAAACCCCAAAGCCCCTAAAACCTAAAACCCCCAGACCCTAAAGCCCCTAAACCCTAAACCCTACAGCGCCTAAACCCTAAACCTCCGAACCGAAGTCCTCGAGCTCCAGCCACTCCTGCTGCCGAGATGCGTGCACCATCGCCTCTTCGTTTGCCTGCCCCGTGGTGGAAGGTTCAGGACAACCGTAATATAGGGGCTTAGGGGTTTAGGGTTTAGGGTTTAGGGTTTAGGGTTCGGGTTTAGGGTTCAGGACAAACGTAATGTAGGGGCCTTAATAATTAGAATAGGGCTTCATAGGGCTCCTTTAAAGGGTTCTTTAAAGGGTTCTATAAGGGTGCCCGTGGGAAGTTGCAGGACAACCGTAATATGGGTAGTTCCCTAAAGCAGTGTCCCTTTTCGGGTTCCTTTTTATAAGGATGCCGTACTACATTGGGGACTTAAAAAAGGGACCGTAATTTAGAGAACTGCCCATATAGGGGCATTAATAATTTGAACAGGGTTTAGAAGTATGTAATAATAAGTTTATAATAGGGAACCCTAAGGAATAATATTGGTAATTGTTTAGGCTTTTGTGTTAAACCAAAATCACCCTGGAAGCCTGAAGCCTAAACTAAGCACGCCTAAACCAAAAATCCTACAGCGTGAGCCAAAAATCCTCCAGCCTAAACCTAAAATCCTACAGCCTAAACACTAAAACCAACATGATCGTACCCCAAGTAGATGAGGAATTCAACTTCAGGCTTAGCTTTAGGGTTTAGGGATTCTGGTCTTAGGGTTTGGGGTTTAGGGTTTATTGTCTTAGCGTATAGGGTTTAGGGTTTAAGGCTGTAGGGCTGATGATGTGAAGGCCTTCTGTAAACCCTAAATCCCGAACATTGCCCGAAACTCTCACTTTCGGCCCAGTGTGCAGATGTATGGCTTTCGCCAGCCTCACGAACAAAACAATGCTCATGCCATACTCCTCATCGCCATCGCCATCATTACCCTCAGAACTGATACCACCCATGTCATCATTACCACATATCAACACTATGCTGGTGAGATGCCCCACTCTCCCGAGAACCTAAGCCCGGCCGAAAAAGACACGCCCTGTCAAACCCTAAACCCTGAACCCGAAACCCCGAGCCCGAATCTTGATGCAAAAAAGCCTGAATCCTGAGTATGTAGTCTAACGAAACCCCAATCAAAACGCATTAAGAGTAGGAATATTCCCTTGCTGTCCGGTTTTTAACCCTGCTCTAGTGAAACAAAGACTGCAGTGGCATCTAGAGGCCCGAACAAATACCAATATTATACCCCTAAGTTCCCGTACAGCCACACAACCCTGAACCCTAAACTCTAAACCTTTAAACCGTTCCCTTACAGCTACACTATACTGTACTGCAAAGCCCTATTCTACTTGTCCCTGTAAGGAAGCCTGAAAAGAGCTCTACTCGCCCTACATTACGAAGGCCCCACATACAGAAGCCTAAACCCTAAACCCTAAACCCTAAATAATTACCAATATTATTCTTTTCGGTCCCCTTTTTACCATAGAGGAGCCCAAAACCCTGCTCTAAAAAAAAGGGAACCCTGATCGGATCCCTGTAAAGGAGCCCTTGGAAAGGAACCCCCGTTCTAAAACTTCAGGCTCCTGTGTTGCACCCCCTCCTGGCCTAAACCCTCAATCCTAAATCCTAAACCCTAAACCCCTAAACCCCTAAACCCTAAACCCTAAACCCTAAACCCCTTAACCCTGAACCCTAAACTCTAAACCCTAAACCCTAAAACCCTAAACCCCTTCACCCTAAACCCTACCTAAGGCCCTTGCGCCGCACCCCCGCCCGGCCTCCAATATCCCTTAATTAAGGAATATACCTTAAATCCTATTCGGGATCCTACTATAATTTTCGGTATATTCCTTAATTAAGGGATATTGGAGTCTCTGGGCACCCCCCTCCCGGCCTCCTCGCCTCCGCACCGCTCGCCGCTTGCCGAGGCCGAGAGACGTGGACGCTAGGCAACGACTTGTTCGGGCCCCAAAAAACGCAGAGAAGGCTTCTACACCCTAAACCCTAAACCCTAAACACTAACCCCAAAACCCTAAACCCTAAACCCTAACTTGGGGTGTTTAGGGGTTTGAGGGACTTTAGGGTTTCTAGGGTTTTGGGGTTTTGGGGCGTTTAGGGTTTTGGGGGTCTTGGGCTTAAGGTTTAGGGTCTCAGTTTTGTTGTGCGTTGAACGCTTGGGGTCTTGGGGCTTTTGGGTTTGGGGCTTAGGATGGAAGGTCGGTTTCGTGTTTTGTGCGTTGATATATAGAGGATCTTATAAGGCTTCATGCGCAGCATTGACACGGCTTCATTGGGTCCTATCGGGGTGTAAAGATGTGTGGAGTGGATCTTAGAGATTCAGTGTCTAAGGCATCGGGTTGAGGGGCTTTGGGTCTCTGAGATGAAAGATGCGCTTTTGATTTTAGGCGACTACGGGGCGTTGTTTAGGGTTCGTCTAGTTGCTCCGTGTGGGGTGTAAATAGTCGTGTTGGAGCTTTAGATGGGGCATGACATGGGGAGTCCGAAGAAAGCGCCCCGATTGAGGGGCTGCAGGGTGGTAGGACCTGTAAGACCATCGTTACGACAGCCTAAACCCTGCCCCCGCGAACTCCACGGCAAGAACTTGTGAAGGCGCAGCGCTTAGGGCTTTAAGGTTTGGTGCTTTGGGCTTGGAGCTCGGGGCTCAGAACCCCAAGCCATGAGCCCTAAACCCTAAACCCTAAGCCCTAAACCCTAAGCCCTAAACCCTAAACCCGAAACCCTAAACCCTAAACCCTAAACCCTAAACCCCCCCCCTCTCCCCCGACATCTTGAAACCGAAAACCGACGGTTCTGAGGCGGCGGGCTTTCCAACGACACCACCAGCCACGCCCTGACAAGATCGAGTTCAGGGCTCAGCGCTTAGGGTATCCTGTGGTGTAGGGGGTTTAGGGCTTAGGGTTTAGGGTTTAGGGTTTAGGGTTAGGGTCCAGGCTTTAGGGTTTAGGGTTTAGGGTTCAGGTTTTGGGGTTTACGGTGTTGTTGAAAACGTATCTTGGACCTTGGCTTGGGGGGCTTGGGGTTTGGGGGGGCTGAAGCACTTGGGGCGGTTGGGTGTGCCGAAAAATCTAGCACTCTTCTTCCATGGTATCTATTCCTTAAAGGAACCTCTAGTACTCTTCTACCATGGTATCTATTCCTTACAGGAACCTCTAGTGCTCTTCTTCCATGGTATCTATTCCTTACAGGAACCATCACTGACGCAAAGTTTCTCGCTCCTAAACCCTAAACCCTAAACCCTAAACCCTAAACCCTAAACCCCATCACTGACGCAAAGCTTCTCCCTGGCTACTTCAAAGCCCAGCAGCACAGAGCTCCAAGCGCAAGACCCTCAGAGCCCCAAAGCCTTACAAAAAAGCGCTAAACCTGAACCCTGGGTACCCCTTTAAGGCTTTAGGGTTTAGGGTTTAGGGTTTAGGGCTTTTGGTTTAGGGTTTGGGGTTTAGGGTTTAGGGTTTACAAAAACCGGATCATAAGCACCAACGTCTTCTTGAATGTGAACCCCTACTTGCAGGACTCTAAGCCCTAGAAGCTCAGAACCCTAAACCCTATACCTGAAAACCCTAAAGCCCTAAACCCTAAAACCCCTGTCCCAAAACCAACATCTGATTCCAGAATGGCGATCCAAGGATCTCACGATGTCCTAACACCTTGCAACCCTGAGTCCTCAACCCTAAACCCTAAACCTGAACCGTGGGTACCCTTTAGGGCTTTAGGGTTTAGGGTTTAGGGTTTAGGGTGTAGGGTGTAGGGTTTGGGGTTTAGGGTTTAGGGTTTAAGGTTTAGGGTTTAGGGTTTAGGGCTTTTGGTTTAGAGTTTGGGGTTGAAGGTTTGGGCGTTTAGGGCTTTGGGGAATTGGGGGTTTGGACCAAAGGCTTTTAAGCTGCAGGGCTTGGGGCTTTCGGTTGCAGCGTTTAGGGTGTCAGACAGGAACAGCTACCACAAGGGTTTAGGGTTAAGGGTTTAGGGTTTAGGGTTTAGGGTCTAGTGATGTCTAGTGCACAGGTAGGTAGGAATATTTCTGCATTTCCTTCTCAAAGGACTCTCGCTGCAGGGGTGTGGGGTTTAGGGTGGACAACAGTGACAATGACGTCAACTCCACCAGAACGCGCAAACCTGGTGCAGAAGTTTCTGCCCTTGCTGAAGCCAAGTTGGATGTAAAGTCTACACCTTAAAGCCCAAACCCGAAAACAGAAAACACCAAAGCAGGTCCTCGAGAACCCTACATATACTACAACCACAAACCGGCACTAAACAAAGCGACCATGCAAACCCTGCGCCCTGCACACACAAAACCCTAACATGCAAATTACATGTACGTAGAATTCCAGCCCTGTCCCCTCCCCCTGACTCCGCGTGCCAGCGCGCTGCGCGCGGGGGCAGTGGCACAGCGCCTAGGCGATCAGAGGCAGCAGTAGTAGTTGCTGTCGTCGTCGACATCGACGTCGCCATGGTGGTGATGGCGGTAGTGGTGATGGTACTGGTAATGGTAGTTGTAGTGCTCGTGGGCGTGCTCGTGCTCTTGCTCGCCCTACTAGTGCTAGCGCTAGTGGTAGTGGTAGCAGTAGACGTAGTAGTAGCGGCAGTGGTAGCAGCAGCACGGCAACCGAACACCACCGGTAGCAACTAGATTCATCACGATCAGGATGATAGTAGCCAGACTCACTATCACAATGTAACGGACTTGCCGAGAGAGCGCGGCTGCTCCTGGCGGAAGTACGGCGGCCCGTCCATGCGTTTCGGGGTGACACCAGTAAGCTTGAAGCGACTGTGTGCTTGTGCTTTGCTGTTAGGCAACAACAGAAAGGCAAGGAGTTAGGGCCTCTGTCGTGGCTTTATTTTGGGAAAACCTCGTAAACAAACGCGGTTGGTGCCAGCGCTATTTACGGGCTAACGGTCTCTACAAAAGCAACCGAAAGCTGCGGCAGTGCTGGCTGGGCCTAGGGCACAATGCTCTCTCCATTGAAACAGCAAATGCTTCGGAGACTCACCCTCAACCCTAGAGCCCTGAACACCCTAAACCACGCACCCTAAGGCCTAAACTGTATGGCTTTCAAAACTATATAGCTCT